CACACACACACACACACACACACACACACACACACACACACACACACACACACACACACACACACAGTCAGCAGACACACAGGTTCAGCACTACTCTGGGGACTTAATTATTGCCACATATGAGCAGAAGGAAGCTCCCTTATAATATTAACATAGTTTCATTTTCTCCTTTAATATTCAAGAAAATCTTATTAAACTGAAGAACTTTAAAAAACAGAGAAGAGATCCTGATTAAATGAAACTATCACTGCACCTCTCCTGTCAGGAGAGACACAGTGAGATGGGCAAAAAATGTTCTCACTGGGCAGGCAGGTGTGAGGAGGAAAAAACATGTTTCAATATTAACAAGCCTCACCTTAGTTTCTATCCTGACCTCTTGACCAGCTGACATACAGTATTTGGCTCTGTATTTCATGTTCTTTTTTTATTCAATTTTTTTTTTTCAGATCATTAAATCATACCTGTTTCTTTTTGGGTGAACAAAAGAATGGCTTTTGTTTTAATGTACTGTGCTTCCTTTCCAGCAGCTTCTGCAAAATGATTTTCAAAGGAATGCTTTATTCAAAGACATATCTTTCATCCTGGATCCAATCCCTGATTTGGACCTAGGGTCTTTTTGTTTGTTCTCCTCATGTATACGTGAATTTTCTCTGGGTTCTCTGGTTTCCTCCTTGAATCCAAAAACATGCACATGAAGCTTCCTTGAGGCCCAGGCTCCATTTGCAAAGAAAAATGTGATCTCAGCAGGATTAGATTAAATGAAGGTGAAAAAAAAAAGACCTGCGGCGTCCTTTTTGGGAGTGATTGACACCTGAAGTTCATCAGCTGTAGAAGCCCATTCAGTTGTTCATAAGATATTTTATTACGTAAATGCCATGTACACAAACAAGGTGTTTTGTTGGCAGAGGTGAGAGTGTTTTATAATTAAAATCAAATCTTTTTTTTCTGCTGATTGGGACATTTACACTAAACACTGGACACAAACATGAAGTTATATATTTATGCTTTTGTGGTAAAGATTGCTTGCAAGCGGAGGACTTCTTTTTTCATGTCTTCTGCCTCCTGGCTGATCTGTTTTGACAGGCCTCAAAACAAGAAGATGCACTTTATTACCTAAAGAATACAAAATGAAATCACATCCATTTTGATAAATGTCTCATATTCTGCATGTTGCTTTACACCATTTTATTCAACATCTCATTTTCGAGCAATATGAAACGCTACGCTGTCAAGTGCACAAAACCCTGCAGGAAACAATGTGTCATGCATTATTTATGGTGTTAATTTCTCATGACATGACATCTCTTTTTATGTAAAGTGCATTATTCACAACATATTGCTTGGGAGTGACAGCAAGCCTTTTTTCACTGGCACACATTATTCCTTTAGACAACTTTTGAACACTGGTGCGAATATATTTATCCAATAGGATTCATTTTGTGTATACTCTCTGAATTACCTTATGTTTATGGATTAAAAATACAATAATTAATTAATTTCATGAATGTACATTTTCATTATATAGCATAACACATAAACTGTAATTGCACTTTGACTTTAAAATATCCTTAAAAAGTATTTAACAATGTATATGAAAAATGTGCTATAAGAGTCAAAAACATTCCTCTAAAATACACCACTACTAAACTTGCTACAACAACTTATGTTTTACAATTAATATGCATAAAATTACAATGTGTCAGTACTGTGTAATTAGTAAGGCACATCTCAACACTCCCCTCAATGTGGATCGGTCACTGACTGAGACTGAGGCATAAAACAGTTCACTAGCCCTTTGAACTCTCTGCGACCCCACAAAAACCACATTACTTTTGTCAGAGAAAGTTTTACAACAGTCAACATAAATCGAGTGTGCATCTGGTGTTTTTGTGAGGGTATCATCTGTACTGCCCATGCTGCCCCTCTCATCACACAGGCCTACTAGTTTAAATTAGTGAATGGGTTGGATGACATAGGCTTTGGTGTGTGATTAACAGGCTRGGGACAATCAYGTTTAATGTGACCTGAGCCAAAGCAGTTGAGACACAGTCTAAACAGTCTGCAATGTGAATGTGTTGTGTGGTCCTCTGAGCAACAAACTCTGCATGGCTCATGTTGAGGCCGTTTGGAACCAYGGGTGTAGCCCCCCCTATGTTGAGCATGTTGTTTTGTGGCAAGAGTTGCTGTACATAAAGACAGGACTTTGTCAAACATTTCTGCCATCTGGTGAGAAGGTTCAACTTCTGTGCGAGAGGTTGAAGGTGGTGTGGAAGGAACTGAATGCTGAAAAGGTTTGGGTTGTGGGGCAACACACTGTTGTGGTTGYTGATGTGAGGGATCTGAGGCCAAAAACCGATCACATGCTAAAGTGGCTTGAGGAAACTGCACTGTAGATGGTGCTGCATCAGCTGGTACAGCAGCACTGGATGATTGAGCACCAAGCTAAGGGTGGCAAGTGAGAACAACAGGGCTTGTAGATGAAACAGAAGAACAAACAGTTTTGCTTGCAGTAACCATTGGTCTTCWGAGGCCAGCAACATGGTTATCCAGGCGCTTCTGGACCTCTACAGTTGTCCACTCCTCAACAGGTTTCAGYTGGAAAGACAGAGCTAGACCAGGATCAGGACAATGGTTAATGAACATTGTAACAACTTCTGTTCCTGGATCCTCCACCTGCTTCCCCCTTCTGCRCAGACACTCATCAGCCGCTTCAATGGACTTGTTCAGTCGAATCCAGTAGTCCATGGCTGTTTCTCCATCAGTAGGCAAGATACWATAAAAGTCTCTCATTGGTAAGCTGGAGAAGATCAGTTCGCCAAAGTTGCGTTTCAGAATATCAAAAACCGTAGAAACCAACTCATTGYCAGTTGACTGAGGCTGACAGCGAAGTGAAACCTGAACCACATCTCTGGCTTTCCCAATAAGTCTGGATGTGATGATCTCACACATTTCCACAGGGTTTTCACATTTTACCCTTGAAAGATAACATCTCATCAAGCCCTCCCATTCCTGGATGGAGAATGTATCAGTGTGGTCACCTTTGAAATATGGAGGTGCTCTGATATCTGATTGAACAACAACCCTCATTTGTGACTGATCATCAAAACCGCTGGGTTGGCTGTCAGCAGCTTGAGGTTGGGAATGACTCTGTCTGTGCAGCGCACTGAGATTAGTTGTAATAGCATCCCCGATCTGTTTAGCCAAATCAGCAATTGCCCCACTAAGAGCATCAGTGGGTACAAGTTGGCTAGGCTCAGTCTTRGCTATTCCAATGGGTGTAGAACTAGCTGCAGGAACAGGCGGGGAGTTTATGTCAGACTGATTAACAGAACATTCATAAATATTAGAAGGTACAGGCCTACCCCTTCCAAATGAAGCATAATTTTGACCCCTCCCCAAACTAAAAGTGACTTTACGGTTCACTTCATCTCCCCTAGAAAACACCTCAGTTTCATTAGACATTTTATCAGACAGTAACAGGTACACACCAATAAAGACAGCAATAATGTACAATAAAAAACAGGTATTTTTTTTAGGGTATTAAACAGTTTGGTACAAATTCCTCTATTTTTAGTTTTTTTTTTTTTTT